GCGTAATTTTTTTATGAATAACAATATCACCAATGTCAAGCCATGAATATCACGTATAACATAAGTGATTTAAAGTAAATATGCAAGATGGCGGCGTCGATAACACACAGGTAACTAAAACACAGCGCGGGCTATCGCAACTCACTTCGTAACATTGGAAACGTTTTGGCCTGACCAAATGGTCTCCGCGTCTGAGAATTAAGTGAGACAACAAACTTTTCAGTTAAGTAAACTTATCATTTCATAATTTTTTTGACTGACAATAGATTAAACCAGGGCCAGGCAGAAGCAACATAAATCTTTCGCGCGCATTTCGCACTGTATCATTAAAATTACGGATGGGCATATCGATCCTGAAGTATCGATACTGTCGCGAGTATCAAAAGTATCAATACTCAAACAAAAATATCGATACTAAGGTGTGTTTTATTTATCAGTGATTTTGTTTATTTAACAAAAAATTAATGCGTACAATATGCATTGACTTGGACGAATAACCCATGTTAGCGAATAATTGTGTAGGATAGGACTATTTTCCTGCTCATCTGAACACACGCAGATGTTGCAAGACAGAATCAATCAATCACGGAGAGCGTTTACTCACTTCTGACAGTGCATTCAAACAGGGCTGCGTTTCCCAAAATATCGTAAGAAAGCATTGATGATTTTGGGAATGGCAGCCTAGAACAATGCTTATCAGAGGACAGAAAAAAAAACAGATATGTTTGAGTTATTTAACAAGAAACAAATTGAAATTGTAGCCTACATAGTTTGTGCAATTACATTTATTTAAATTGAATGTTGAAAGATAATATTGATCATGTTCTATTCTGTAATGTTAATATAAATCATACACTGTCAAAATAAAAAGGTTGCATTTTATGTATGCAACAGCCTGTCACTGGCAGTCCCTTACGAAAATGAACCATGGTTTTACTAAAGTGACCATAGTTCAACTATAGTGGTTCCTTGCCGCTGTCGTCTCTGGCTTGCTTAGTTGGGGACACTTCATTTCCAGCGATATCGTCGACTTGATTGCACAGATACTATTTAAACTGAACTGAGCTGGATGATGACATCACTGAATTCAATGATGAACTGCCTTTAACTGAAAATTTAGTGTTTACTATTGTCATTTTGCATTATTGACACACTATTTTCCTAATTAATGCTGTACAGTTGCTTTGACACAATCTGTATTGTTAAAAGCGCTATATAAATAAAGGTGACTTGACTTGACTATTCTTTTTGCAGTGACTTGGGAATCACAGCTTTTTTGCCTTTCATCACAATCCCATCCTTTGTTGTCAGTTCATCTCAGTATGGGTAATACTATCGGAGTGCCAGAGGCAGCTTTGCCCACCGATCTGGTCAGCCCTGGTGTATTATTCTGCAAAGCTGCTGCAGTGTTGGATCTGTGGCTGTGTGCTATTTTAACTCGACAAGCCTTGATGATGAGATGTGTTCTACAGACATTACCTCAAAATCAGTCTTTTCACTGGCTTGCACTTCTGTGTTCTTCATGGGGGCACGTGAAAGAGTATCGGCCAGATACATTTGTTTTCCTTTTTTGTAACTTATCACAAAATTATACTACTGGAGTCTCAACATCATTCGTTGTAATCGTGCTGGTGCCATGTGCAGTGGCTTGTTGAGAATTGCCACCAGTGGCTGATGATCTGTTTCAATGAGAATTTCCTTTCTGTGTATATATAGTCGTGAAACTTAGCACATGCAAACACCACTTCGAGAAGCTCCTTCTCAATTTGAGCATATTGTGTCTCAGTCTGTGTCAGGGTACGTGAGTCATATGCTATAGGAGCGTTCTCTTGAAGGCATGCAGCACCAAGTCCAAACTGTGAAGAGTCACGTCAGTGCATGTGACAGGCTTTTGGACATTGTAATATCTCAGTGTTGGTGATGTGATGCACTCTTTCAGCTTGATGAATGCGTCTTAAAGATGTTCAAGCCAGCACCATTCAACATCTTTGTGAGTCAGCTCTCGTAAGGGTGCTGATAGGTCACTGAAATTTGGAATGAATTTTCCAAGATAGCTAACCATCTCTAGAAAGCATTGTAGGGCTGTTACGTTTTCTGGCACTTCCATCTCTGAGATTGCCTTAAAGGTGACATATCATGAAAATCTGACTTTTCCAGGTTTTAAGTGCTATAATCAGGTCTCCGGTGCATCTACCAACCAAGCAAACATGAAAAAGATTAACCTAGTAACTTTGTTTTGGTAAGCCTTTTTCTGCAAGTGTCTGAAAAAACGAGCGCGTCAGATTTCGCTCCCTTGGTGACGTGGCAAAGGGATCTCTTTATAATATTAATATCAAGCGACAGCGGTGTACCAGTTCTAACGCTATGGCGAAAGTTTGAACAAAACATGCTAACTGTTCTGTCATTGGCTGCACAGACTAGCACAGAACACTATTTAGAGTCCCAGCCTCAGAGGAGAGAAGAGAGCAGTGGATTTATTGATTTATTTACTGTATATTGCTGCTGCCACACAGATCCACCCATGCTGTCTGTGGCGGTTTCTTCTGGTTTGAGCTGGTCTATTGTTAGCATCTTAGTACAGGTAAAGTGAAAGCATTATTTTAAACATGCTTTTGGGATGTTTGTACAAAATGAAGGATGATACAATATTTATTTTTTGTGTTAATTGACAGCAAACTACACTTAAATAGAGCTTAATTGTATTAAATCCAGAATATTCCTTTAACACTTTTTCAGGATTCTCTTCTTTCACTGGCCATGTGACACTGTCAAAAGTGAAACTATTTTAAAAGTGAAAGTATTTGAACAGACTCCATTTTGTGAAAGGAAGAACACAAAAAACATCAAGCGAGAAAAGCTGTTTGTGAATAATCAGTTTGAGAACAGATCGGTTTAATGCTGCTATTCAGAGACAGAATGGATTTATGAACTGAATGAAGTGTGTTTTGATGTTCTTCATTGTTGAAACAGAGGTAGGTTTGAACAAACACATTTCTGTATTTATTCTCATGAATAAATCAATGTGAACATGCATGTGTAAATACTTAGATTTCTGTCATACTGTAATTTAAGAGTATTTTCAGATGCTTAAGCATAGTCTGCTGAGAGTTTTTCTTACTCTGATTTTAGGAATCATTTCTGAATGTACTGAACTGGGAGTTGAGTTGAACAGCTTTAGACTGGTGATTATTCATCTAAAGCTTTGTTTCATTATATACTTTAATAGTGTATGCCATTAGAATTCATGAAGATTTCATTATTCCTCCTCTTATGTCTAAATAAGGAAATTCAGTTGCCTGTTTTTGTCTTTTTCTACAGCACTGCCTGTGAAATGAGTCTCTATGTGAAGAAAGAGGAGGAGGCTACATCTCCAGAACCCAGCAGTGTGTCTATGAAGAGTAACGCATCTATGGGAATACCTCCTCTTCTCAATGATGGCACAGTGACCTCTGCCCCTGAGTGAGTATAAACATGATTTAACTGCTGTAGTGAAACATAACCAGGGATTCTAAAATTACTTCAGACAAGCTTCTAATATTGCTCAGATACTGAGGAGCCGGAGCAGTTAGGCTTTATAGAGTGCATTAGTGCTCACCTAATTTTTCAGCATTGTTGGTTCTGAAAATATATTTTTCCACTCATTTTTCCCATATAATATGAATCACAACATTACAAACTTTTATTTTAAGGAAAAAAATAAAGAAAAAAAAAAGAAAATTGGACAAAAAGACAAATATATTTACCTAAATATTTTGAGTATTTTGAGGAGTGTATGGAGACAGGCTCAATTTCGTCATTTGAGGTGCTTCATGGAAGTGGGCAGAGCTAAAGAGATCTTGGTGTGTAGTTTTCCCACCATGAAATCTACTGTTAAACACAACTTTTTAAAATAAGTTGAAATATTGTATGCTGATGGCTTCAACAAAAGAATATACTATTTATTAAGTAGAGATTACTTATAATTTTATGTTTGTAAGTGGTCTGTCACCAAACAGGAAAGGATTGCATTAGAATTAGCATTCACTTAGAAACAGAAATTGAAAAAGTACATCCAAGAGTATTATTTTAGTGTTTGTCTTCTATTCTCTCTTGGTTTCTACAGCTCTGCCTCTAAAATCAGTCGCAATGTGAAGAGAGAAAAGAAGGATGATGTTGACATGCATAAAGCAGAATCTCCAGATCCCAGCTGTGTGTCTATGAAGAGTGACGCATCCATGGGAATCCCTCCTCTTCTCAGTGATGGAGCAGTGACCTCTGACACTGAGTGAGTATACAAATTGATAAACAAGGACCCAGGAACATGTCCTACATGGGTAAACCATGTTCTGCATTATATGTCCATTATCCAAATGTTTCTCAGATGTCTGCAGTGCATCATTCAACTACACTGTGTAGGAAGGTACTACACAGTATACCAGTACTACGGTAGTATCATCATGCCCAAGCCTCAAAACACTGGCACAAGCACCTGTTTAAAGGACTTTGGAGAGCTTTGGGATAATTTCTAATGCTTACATTTGTTACTGAAGACATTTAAAAACATATTTAAAGTTAACCTCAAAATTCACATTTTGGCTTTACCAAGTTTCCCTTCAAATTAAAATACATTCAGACCTGTTCATTTTGCATAATTATATTCTGATTTTCACCATTCTAAAATAATATGCTGCCTTCACTGTTGCATGCACACACACACACAGAGAGAGAGAGAGAAAGCCACATTCTGGAGCACAGAAACTCTTATGCTTTTCACAGTTTTTCCTGTTCATCTCACTGTTTCTGCAGATTGAGAAGAGGAAATGTGAGCCGATCAGTGATGCCCTTTCTGACTCGCTTTGTCTCCTACTGTCAGAATGTTTTCAGGAAGAACAACAGCAAAACAGCCCTGCAGAGTGTCAAAGACCAGCACCAAACCAGCATGAAGAACAGGTATGAGAGCTTATTTGAGGGAATCAAACTAGAAGGGAATCAAACCCTCCTGAACAGGATCTACACCTGAAATGTACATCCACTTCCTGCTGACTCAGATCAACATGAAGAATCAGAAGTATTATGAGAGAGATCCAGAGAAACTCCTGAAGTCCAGCAGAGATGTGATTGTGAAACTTTCTGAACTGGCTTTCAAACAGCTGATGAAGGGCAATGTGATGTTCTACGAGGAGGACCTGATTGAAAGCGGCATAGACGTCACTGACGCCTCAGTGTATTCTGGGATTTGCACAGAGATCTTTAAGGAGGAATCTGTGATCCATCAGAAGAAAGTCTACTGCTTCATTCATCTGAGCTTTCAGGAGTTTCTAGCAGCTTTCTTTTTGTTTCACTCCCATGTAGTCAAGAATGAGGAATCAGTGAAGTCGTTTCTGAATGACGAATATCAGCGGTACAGTCAGGAAAACTCATATGAGCTACTAAAATCAGCAATTAATAAATCCTTAAAGAGTAAAAATGGACACCTAGATATTTTCTTGCGGTTCCTGCTGGGCGTCTCACTGGAGTCCAATCAGAGACTCTTACAGGATCTGCTGACACACACAGTGAACAGCTCAGAGACAATCAAGAGAATCATACAGTACATTAAAGACAAACTCAAGGCTGATGAATGTCTCTCAGCTGACAGATGCATCAATCTGTTCCTCTGTCTGCTGGAAATAAAAGATCAGGCTCTGTACAGAAAGATTCAGGAGTTTGTGAAATCAGAGAATCACTCAGTGGAGAAACTCTCTCCGTCTCACTGCTCAACAATTGCCTACATGCTTCAGATATCAGAGGAGGTGCTGGATGAGTTTGATCTGAAGAGATACAACACATCAGATGAGGGTAGAAGGAGACTGATACCAGCTGTGGTGAACTGCAGAAAAGCTCTGTGAGTATTCATTTATGTGATTGGAGATAAAACTGAATGTGTTTGTTTTGTTGAGACAGTAATATTCCTTCATCGAATCATGACACTAATAATTTACAGGTATATCAGAAGCTGTTTGAAGAGGTCAGAAGTGTTTAGTATCTCATGACTCACTCCAAACAACGTGGAATCAGTCAAACTCAGAACGAGGTTATGAACATGTACAGTTTAGTTGTTTAGTAAATAGTAAATCATTTTATTTTCTCTCATGAGGTTCACTATAACTTATTCATCATACAGTACTTTATGCAGTTTATGTTTACAGGGATAGTGCATATTTATTTGCTTTGCAAATACAGCAGTTTAGCCATATCTACTAAATTTTTGTCAAAGTTTTTTGTACCAAAAATGTAATTTAGTTTATTATTTTTGCTATATGTGACCCTTTTTCTGACCTTTAGAATTTATGTTCAACTTTTAGCATGGTTCACATTTTATTGTTAGTTAAATAGTGCCTTCGATAGCTCAGCTGGTAGAGCGGAGGACTGTAGGTAGGAGTGTTGGCAATCCTTAGGTCGCTGGTTCGACTCTGGCTCGAAGGAGGTCTATTTTCGGGGAAGTCGTGGCCTAATGGTTAGAGAGTCGGACTCATAACCCAAAGGTTGTGGGTTCGAGTCTCGTACCGGCAGGGATTGTAGGTGGGGGGAGTGAATGTACAGCGCTCTCTCCCACCTTCAATACCACGACTGAGGTGCCCTTGAGCAAGGCACCGAACCCCCAACTGCGTGCTGCAGCATAAATGGCTGCCCACTGCTCCGGGTGTGTGTTCACTGCTGTGTGTGTGCACTTTGGATGGGTAAATGCAGAGCACTAATTCCGAGTATGGGTCACCATACTTGGCCACATGTCACGTCACGTCACACTTTTAAATACCAGCTGGAGTAATAGTGTTGTCTTCTTTTTGGCATTTTTCTGTCCTACGTCCTCCTTATTACTTCACTGTTGTCAGACCATGTCTCGTGTTGTGTTTTACTCCCCCATGTGCTCCAGGTTAATGTTTATGCCCATATTTGGTTTTCCTGTTCCTATTCCCATTTAGTTCTATTGATCTCAGGTGTGTCACATTAGTTTCTGTTTATTTTAAGTGTGTTTTGCTGTCAGCTGTCGAATGTCATTTCGTGTCCGCAGTGTTACCCGTGCCTCTGTTTTCCTGGCTTTTGTTTATTAAATACTTTGAAATGTACTTTATTCCTCGTCTCCTCGCCTGTGCTCCCAGAGTGTGTGTCGTGACAGAACAGCAGACCGAAATAGTATGCGGCGCTCCGTCTCCCGTGTTTTGTTTTCGTCGCTCCGAAGTCAAGCCTGCCGGCCGCAGCTCCCACAAGCCCGCCGCCAGCCCAGAGCTCGCTCCAGTGAGGGCCCCTGTTCTCGAGTATAGCCCATGGAGGGCTCCTGTTCCCCCGTCGAGCCCAGGTAGGGCTCCTGATCACCATGGCCTCCTGAGTTCCCTACACCGCCATGGCCTCCTGGACTGTCGGATCCGCCATGACCTCCTGAGTTCCCTACTCCGCCATGGCTCCCCGAGCTGCCTGCACCACCATGGCACCCCGAACGGGTATCACTCTGGAGGCCCGCCATCTCGTGTCTGTCCTGAGGGACCTCCAGAGCGCCCCTCCCCCCCTCCCCGTTGGATGTTGTATGGCGCGGGACGCGCCTTCCGGGAAGGGGGAGTAATGTCAGACTTTGTTCCATGTCTCGTGTTGTGTTTTCCTCCCCCATGTGCTCCAGGTTAATGTTTATGCCCATATTTGGTTTTCCTGTTCCTATTCCCATTTAGTTCTATTGATCCCAGGTGTGTCCCATTAGTTTCTGTTCATTTAAAGTGTGTTTTGCCCCTTGTTTGCTGTCTGCTGTCGAATGTCATTTCGTGTCCTCAGTGTTACCCGTGCCTCTGTATTCCCGGCTTTTGTTTATTAAATACTTTGGAATTTACTTTTATTCCTCGTCTCCTCACTCGTTTGAGTGTGTGTCGTGACAACTGTGACACTGATGCTACACTGAATACATGTTGCAAAAAAATTATATTTCATCCTGTGTTACAGGTTTGCTGACTGTAATCTCACTGATCAGTGCTGTGAAAGTTTGTCTTCATCTCTACAATCATCAAACTCACTGAGAGAGCTGGACCTGAGTAATAATGACCTGCAGGATTCAGGAGTGAAGCTTCTGTCTGATGGACTGAAGAGTTCACACTGTCAACTCAACATACTGAGGTAATACAATCAGATGAAGATTCACATGGTTATTAAATGAAAGATGCCCTCTGCTTTACTGATTTTTTTTTGATTTTTTTTTGGTAATATATCACAGACCCTAGTGTGTCTGAAGACTTTAAGTTTGCATTTGCTCCAGCCAGTTTTTTATGAACTTTTTAGATGAAATGATTTACTCAATGATTAAATTAAATTTGCGAGGAGTGGGGATGACAGAAACTGTTCTTGAGAAAAAATTCTGCTCCATCAACACTGTGACACTGAGTAAAACATTGAAACCAGAGTTACTCAAGCTGAACTGAACCTGCAATCTGTGACCTGTGGATAAAAAGTGATACACTGAAACAATGAATAATTAAATTTTTTTGCATAGTGACAGGAATCTGAACATTCCTGTGTGTGTTTCAGTTGAAGATGACCTCAAGTCCCAGATTATGTGAGTGTGTGTGTGTGTGTTTGTAGATTATCTGGATGTATGGTGACAGAGGAAGGCTGCTGTTTTCTGGCTTCAGCTCTGAGTTCAAACCCCTCACACCTGAGAGAGCTGGATCTGAGTTACAATCACCCAGGACAATCATTAGTCAAGCTGCTCTCTGATCCAAACTACCGACTGGACAAACTCAAGTATGTTCAACACTAAAAATCTCAACCTGTCATGTGTCATAAAGTCATTGAAAACTCATATGTAAATAGGTCCCTGCATACAGCACATACTGTATATACTCATCAATACTGCACATGGAAGATAAGGGCGTGTCTTGAACTCTGTAAGTGAAGTTGATTTTGATTCAGTTCAACAGCTGCATCTGAGAAACAGACTCAAGTCTCTGATCCCAAAACATCAATTCAAAGCTTGTTGCTGCTCTAGAAAGTAAATTATTGATGCTGCCGGAGACACAAAGCAAAAACAGGTCCACAATCTGAAAATACAGAGATCACAGTCTAAATGAGAAGAAATTATGTTTGACATTTTGAAACTGAATAAAGCAGATCAGCTCAGTGCAGCTGAACAGCAAGAGATTCATGCAGTTAGTAGATGAATATCAGTTAACACCTGCACAAATGAAATTATTTAGACCCAAATGATTAGTAAATGTAGATGTGAGTCTGTAGGTCAAGGCTTGAGGAACTTGTCCAGTGATAGAGACTGTGAATCAGAAACTACATGTAATGCTGGAGGACAGACAGACAGCTCAAAGGATCTTAATCAGAAGGGACTTTGGCCTGATTTTGGAGATTTAGTTAAACATCAAAAATTAAATATCTATCATTATTTGCTTACATTATATTTACCATGGACTTGTCCAGATTGTTTTTTTTGTTTTTTTAAGTTAAGACCAGTTGTAAAGATGAACTGACTTTAGGTTGAAATTATATTACAGCTAGAAAAACATCCTTGTTTTATATTAAACTTAATTAAAAACACAGTGATAAATCAAATTAAAAGCTTTATATTTTTGTTAATTTTGAGTGTTGGTAGTAATGAATCAGGGTCAGGTCTGCTGTATAAACAGAACGAATTGCACAGTATGTACTACTGCAAACATTTAACACACTACTTAATCATCTGACAATGACCAAGAGTACATTTACAGAGTTTGATGTGTCTCCATGCTTTCAGCCAAGTAATAAATCATTAGAAAATATTAACATTAACAAAATCATTTCTGAACAGCCATCCACATTATTATGGGTTCATCTTTTGTTTTTATAGTGTGGATCACGGAGGAGAGATCAGAATTATAACAGGACCACAAAAATGTAGGTCTCTCACACACACACATACACACACTTTAATCACTGTTTTGTTTTAGGAGTGTTATAATCTCTCTTCTTGTGTTCAGATGCATGTGATCTCACACTGGATTTAAACACAGCAAACACTTATCTGTCTCTGTCTGAGAGGAACAGAAAAGTGACACATGTGAGAGAGAAGCAGCCGTATCCTGATCATCCAGACAGATTTGATGAGTGTTATCAAGTTCTATGTGGAAAGAGTCTGTCTGGACGCTGTTACTGGGAGGCTGAATGGAGTGGGAACGTTTATATATCAGTGACATGTAAAGGAATCAGCAGGAAAGGAGAGAGTGATGACTGTTTGCTTGGATACAATGAAAAGTCCTGGAGTTTGAACTGTTTTAATAACAGTTTCTCTGTGAGACACAGTAATAAGATCACAGAAATATCTGTCCCTTCACATCGCCCTAAGAAAGTAGGAGTGTATCTGGACTGGTCAGCCGGCACTCTGTCCTTTTACAGTGTCTCTGACACACACACACTCACACGCTTACACACATTCAACACCACATCCACTGAACCCCTCTATGCTGGATTTGGGGTTTATTCTGGTAGTTCAGTGTCTCTGTGTGAGATTAAACAGCCTTTCATGAGAAACAAGTGAGACACAGTTAAGTGGAAGAAACTCATTCACATTATCTCTCTTGAACTCAACAACTGTAAACTCTTTCTCTCTTCTAATCTTAATTTCAGTGTGTGTGTGTATAAAAACACGTTGACTTCAGTCTGAATGTGACACACCACAGACTTGTTTTGTGTTTTTATAAAGGCATCCGAATATGACCCAGGTGAAAAATAAATATATTTAAATTGTGCTTTTTCAGACATACTTACTATATTTAAATTATACTATACTAAGTGCATATTAAATGTATTATTTTGAAACAACTTTAAGTATATTAAGTGTATTTCAAGATATGTTTAAGTTTGATTTTAATCTATTTGTAATATATTTAATATATTGAAATTGTGTTAAAATGGAACCACTTTAAGTATATTTAGTGCAATTTAAGTGTATTTCTTAAAATACATTTAAAATGTCCTTTTAATACTTCATGAACTACAGTTAGAGTATATTTGAAGCATTGTTTTAATGTACTTCAAGTACATTTCAATTGTATTTCAGCTCATTGGAAATGCATTAGCATTACACTACTAGTATATTATAAACCTGCTTTATTCAGTATACACACACGTACACACTTTGATATCTAGAAAACTGTAATGTATACTTTTTAGAAATATATTAAAATGCAATTCAGTATATTTTTATTGCACTTCAAATAAGCATGTTGGGAATACAAATGTATCATAAACATACTTCTTGAATTTCAAGTATATTTTTAATACATTTAATACTACGTCTTTTTCACCTGGGGAGGTTTGTCTTTCTGAGTCACTGAGTGCCACATGGAGGGAGATTTATGTATTTTAGTCTGTTGTTTCCAAATACTTGCAGCCATTTAGCAACTTTATCATTAACTATCATTAATTATTAAATCAATAAAATAAAATATATTTTTATGTGTTTATCACTCAGTATGAATCAGTGCTATTAGTAATATGTCAAGTATTTATTGTGAATATTTACAAATCAATGTTGCAGTTGAAATAACTAAATAGAAATTTATATTTATTCATTACGTGATAGTTGAATTATTGGTAATGTTACAGTTCAATATATGTGTTAATCTATTTAGATTATAAATATATGAATACAGATGATTCAAAAAGGTTTATTTGATAAAGACCTTCTCTCTGCACTTACTCTTTCTTTGAATATCATGCCATAACTGTTACTGATCCTGCCTAAATTAATCTTGACACCTTGTAGTAAATCAGCTCAAAAGGGAAATATTTATGACTAATTATAACTGGTTTTGATTAATAATAAATATTTAGATTAGTTCTTAGAATTAACTGTAGCAGAATCAATATTACAATTATTTGATCTGTCCGTCCACCGAGCAGACAATATAATCATTTATCAATTCAAAGAAAGATTATTTTCCTGGCCAAGAAAGAATAACTTTCCTGCATACAGTACTAGCATTAACTTAGCATGTAGCAAGGGATCAAACATTCAGTGACTTCGAATTGTGAGCAGCACACGGAGGCAGTCAATGGTGGAAATAAGGGATTTAATAAATGAAACTATATCTAACATATAACTAAGCAAAACATATATATACAGAATGAAGAAAAGTAAGGAAAAGAGACAGAAGAGCAAAAGAATGGCAGTATTTCACGTCAATTAATAAATAGTTGTAAACAGTTACTTGCATTGGCTTCGTTGCTGAATCAAGAGTCCTGATACGGTAGACAATGGTTCTTGATAAGTTCTTTTAGAAGTGAGCTGGAAGTTTACTTCTGGTTCTTCTGAAGATAGGAAAGTCCACAGCGGATCGACAGAGTTACTTGAAGATGAAAAACTGCCGGAAAATCAAACTCAAGAGGAGAGTTTTAGGAGTCTTGGAAAGTGTCGTCTCAAAGGAAGAGTTTTCTGAGCAGAGATTAGCCTAAGCTAATGACTAGGCTAATACAATAGGGAAACATACAAACAACACATGCATATACCAGATACAATTGTAACTGATTAATTATTGTCTAAATAAAGAAACGGTCTATATGTGTGTGTGTTGTGTATTGTGTATATGGTGTAGTTTTGCAGGTCAGCCAGGCCCATTGGCGCCTGGCACCGGGGGGTCATTTACTTCTCTTTGGAAACTTTTGAAGTCAGATGGGGAGATGATAGTGATAGACTGCTTAGCATCTCCTTGATAGTGGGGGGAACCATTTGACAATTTAGCACCCATATAAATGTAGAATCTGTGGCCAGGACTGGAATTTAAATGCAAATGTCAAAGGCTAAAAGGGATCTCTTAAGCCATAAAACCCCAAAGACCATCCATGATTTTACGCAGACGCTACAACCTTCAGTCCTCAAGGTCAAGACATGCTGCTGTCTTCTTTCCCAGAGGATGAAACACAGCTGGAAATCCTTGGTGACTTTAACATTCACTGTGACAAACCTCAAGCAGCTGAGACACACAAAGCAGGCAAATAACTAGACATCATCCTCACACGTAACTGCATCACTGACAACCACCTTGTCACTCCATTAAAATGCTCTGTCACTTCTTTCTCCAGTTCTCCTTCACTCTCTTTTCATGCTCACCAATGAATCCTCTGGTCTCCTTTCGCTATAACCGTTGCTCTGACTCCTCTACATGCTTCTTCTCTGTGGTGTCACATCTCTCCCCAACATTAACCACTTCTCTTCTCATGATGTCAGTGAAGCTACTGACACTCTCTCCTACCACTGCTCTGAAGATGATACACAGCTCTATCTGTAGCTTCAACCTGATGATCCCACTGTCTCAGCTTGTGACTCTGCCTTTAATACATCTCTACTTGGATGAAGGACTGTTTAACTGGGGTCTGCAACACTAACACCAACCAGGAAGATCAGACTCGTCCTATCAGAGTATGCGGCGCAGCTCCTCATTCAAGCTCTTGTCATTTCAAAACTGAACAACAATAATATAAAGATGAAAGAGATCCGCACTTGTCCAGATTCAGCCAAAAAGGCTTATTTAATTTATTGCTAAAAAATATGTGCAAAACAGTGCAAAATGGACATGAACAGTGCAAAACAGGATGGCACTGAGGAAGAGTTAATACCCAAAAACGTTCTGCACTTCTGCACATTTTGCCCTTTTTTGCACATATTTTTGTGACCTCTGAGCAATAAATGAAATAAGCTTTTTTGGCTGAATCTGGACGAGTGCAGATCTCTTTCATCTTTATATTATTGTATTTTTGGATCTACGTACCTTATGTTTTTTGTCTACTGAATTTTCTATTTGTGGATTGTAAAACTGAACTACAGCAATGCCCAATCTTCCCAATCTACTGCTCCACACAACCTTCTGAAACCATCACAACTTTCAAGAAGTAGCTGAAGACAAACCTCTTTCTCACACACACAAATTCTCTTGTTTGCATTTCATCTCTGCTCTACCTTGTTTCCTAGTCTAGCTTTCCAGATCTCTCATAGACATCGATAAACACTACAACTGGACGGATGTGTCTGCTATAAACACTGAGGGTGTGTTGAACATCTGCTTTTGCAAGGAGCATTTTTTCTTCAGTGATGTTACATGAAAAGCCACAGTCTGAACTTTCCCATTTTAGCACAAAAATATAGGACGGTTTGGTATTTCAAGCTCAAATGAGTGTGTGAATATATTTGATCTCACCACCAGTGGTCTCTGTCTCCGGCTTTTCCAGAGCACATCAGTCATGATGAATGAATTAAGTTCTGGTTTATAAACGGAAGATGAGTTTAATTGGATGGTTTTTGCGCTGTCCTTTCATACTTTGCTAGTACAACATAATTTAAAATATTTGTAATTTATTTTAAAAACAATGGTAAATTTATCATGATATCTGGACCTAAAAAATGGAATTCCTACTAGCAGAATTTTATTAAGTTATTGTAAGCAACACATCAGTTCTTATTTTAACTAATAACAGTTTAAAATATAGGTAACACGTTACAATAAGGTTCATTAGTTAACATTAGTAAATTAGTTAATATAAGGTAAGAACGAACAATACTTCTACAGCATTTATTAATCAATGTTTATTTCAGCATTTACTTCTGCATTATTAAAATAATTTTTTGTTAACGATTTTAACATTAGTTAATGCACTGTGAATTAACATGAACAAAAAATGAATGACTGTATATTTATTAATTAACATTAACAAAGATGAATAATAAATATTGCAATGAATGTATTGTTCATTGTTTGTTCATGTTAGTTAATACAATAATTAATGTTAACAAATGACACCTTATTGTAAAGTGTTACCATATAATATTAGTCATATAATTATAACATTTATATTTAAATATTTATACATTAATAAAGTTTCTGGTGTATAATTAATATAATAAGAATGCATTACAACAATCTCAGTTTTTCAGTAGGCTACTTTCTGGACTCACATCATAAGTTGCAGGTGAGTGCGCGATGAGAGAGAAAGTGAGGGGAGACATTTATTTAGCATGCTTCTGAAAATACTGAATAATTGATTTGTTAAAACTTGAGAGAAGCATACAACTTATGAGGAACATTGGCGTTGGCTTATGATTTCATTCTCATTTTCATACATAACACTGTACTGCAGAGCTTGTTAACATTTTCTGTAAACAGAAGATGTAATGTTAGTGTTCATGTGTTTCAAAACATTGTAGCACAGGTAAAGTAAACCATGGCGCTGTCTCAAACATGTTGGCATATTCAGAAATGAACAAACACTTGTTCACCTGTTTAACACATGCTCAACATTATTTTTCAGTGTTTATCTCTCTTACAGGTAAACAGACAAACCAGTTGAACCAGTTTAAGTCAAAAGTGAAAATGTTTTAACAGGCTCACTTCAGTGAAAAGGAGAACATAGACAACACCAAGAGAGAAAAGCTGTTTGTGAATAATGTGAATTAGTTTAAGTATTTAAAGACAGAATGAACATTGTGTTTGATGTTTTTCATTGTTGAGACAAAGGTAGGTTTGAACAAATTCATTCTCATGCATTAAATCAATATCAATCTAATGTTTAAATACTTATTTCTACTGTAATATGTATAATTCTACAGTAATGTATATTTGCAGATGCTTTAGTTTCTCTGATGAGTTTTTCTTTTAGGTACTTGCTGATCAAAAGAACTATCCTTTGATTCGTGTCTGAATCCGTAGTTTAGTAAAGTCATAAATAAATTACTTATTTTTACAGTAATTGGTATACATGTAAAGAATGATTTATCTTGATTAGGGTGGCAGCAACTCTGATGACTCAGAATCTCAGCTGTTCACAAAATCAAGGTTGTATTGAGAAATCAGGAAGTGAAATGTTTAGAAGAGTTGAAGTTCAAGTGATCACAATCCTGACAGCCAACAATGAATGTATGAAACTGTTGCACTGTTACACTTTGATGTGTGTTGGTGAGGCTGCCAGGAAAGTATGATTTGTTTCGGTATGAATTTTTATATTGTATGGTATAAGAATTCATGAATCACATTTTTTTGTTTGTCTAGTTTAAGTTTATTGTTATTGTCAACTTCCACAGCACAGCCTGTGAAATGAGTCTCTATGAGAAGAGAGAGGAGGAGGAGGAGGATGTTCAGACACATAAAGCAGCATCTCCAGAACCCAGCTGTGTGTCTGTGAAGAGTAATACATCCATGTTAAACCGCCCTGATCTCAGTGATGGAGCAGCAACTTCTAACCCTGGGTGAGTATAAACATGCTTTAACTGCTGTCGTGAAACTTTTGATGAGATGCTTTCAAGATATAGAATATTGAGACTTTATGTATGGTTTTCTTTTGAATATTTGTAAATAGAAATGACTTATAAACACTCATATGGTTTTTCATCATAATAGCAAACCTGCAAGTCAAACGAGGAAACAAACGGAAAAGATGGAACATAGATGCAAGCAAACAGCCAGGTAAATGAAACCGAAGCTGTGCACTTACTAAAAGACACAGAGTCAGGAATGAAGCAAACTATGTGCTGAGACACAAAACACAAAAACATAAAAGAAGTGCCAAGATCCTATCACTAATGACCAGAAATAAACTCTCAGGAGTGCCAAGATTGTGACAAAGGGAGCCTAACATTGTTTCTCTTCTCCTCTCTAGATATATAAAGAGATTTCACAACTGGTTCAAGCAGTTTATTAGTTTATTTTTAATTTCAGCAGAATCCATATTGTTTAACATTAGACAAGCTTTAAAACAAGGACCAGAGACTAACAGAATGGGTTTCTGAAGTGGATGAATTGTGTTTGATGTTCAGTTCTCAGCTTCACAGTTTTTCTGTTCGCCTTACTGTTTCCACAGATTGAAAAGACCCAAAGTGACCAGATCAGTGACACCCTGTCTGACTTGCACTACAGACTCTGACTCTCCGCCTGATGAAGGTCTGACAGTTAAAGACCGACACAAACCCAGCATGAAGAACAAATATGAGTGCTTACTCGAGGGAATCAAACTAGAAAATAATCAAACCCTCCTGAACAGGATCTACACACAGCTCTACATCATAGAGGGAGAAAGTGAAACAGTAAATGAAGAACATGAGGTTTTACAGATGGAGAAAACACCCAGAACACAACACACTCCAATCTACTGCAATGACATCTTTAAACCCTTACATCAACCAGGATGTGAGGAGAAAGACAAAATCAAGACTGTTCTTACTAAAGGCATCGCTGGAATTGGAAAAACTGTCTCTGTGCAGAAGTTCATTCTGGACTGGACCGAGGGAAAAGCCAATCAAAATGTAGATTTCATGTTTGTGCTTCCATTTCGAGAGCTGAACTTGATTATAGATCACCAGTACAGTCTTCACAGACTTCTGCTGAACTTTCATCCTGAACTTCAAGATCTGAACTCACAGATTTATGAGGAGTGTAAAGTTGTGTTCATCTTTGATGGTCTGGATGAAAGCAGAATTACACTGATGTTTTCAGATGATAATAAAATTTGTGATGTGAATGAGTCTTCATCAGTGGGTGTGTTGATGTCAAACCTCATCAGAGGAGAGCTGCTTCCCTCTGCTCTCATCTGGATCACCTCCAGACCAGCAGCAGCCAAGCAGATCCCCTCAGAATACATCAACCGTGTGACAGAAATTCAGGGATTCAATGATCCTCAGAAAGAGGAATATTTCAGGAAGAGAATCAGTGATGAGCATCAAGCCAGCAGAATCATCTCACACATTAGAAGATCAAGAAGCCTCCACATCATGTGTCACATCCCCGTCTTCTGCTGGATCTCAGCCACTGTGCTTCAAAACCTCCTGAAACAAGATGACAGTGCAGAAATCCCTCAAACTCTGACTGAAATGTACACCCACTTCCTGCTGACTCAGATCAACATGAAGAGTCAGAAGTATGATGGGAAAGATCCAGAGAAACCCCTGAAGTCCAGCAGAGATGTGATTGTGAAACTTGCTAAACTGGCTTTCAAACAGCTGATGAAGGGCAATGTGATGTTCTACGAGGAGGACCTGATTGAAAGCGGCATAGACGTCACTGACGCCTCAGTGTATTCTGGGATTTGCACTGAGATCTTTAAGGAGGAATCTGTGATTCATCAGAGGAAAGTTTACTGCTTCATTCATCTGAGCTTTCAGGAGTTTCTTGCAGCTTTATATCTGTTTTACTTCCATGTAGTCAAGAATGAGGAATCAGTGACCTTGCTTCTATATGAAGAATTTCAGGGGAACATTTGTGGAAGCTTTCTGTATGAGCTAACAGTTGATAAATCCCTACAGAGTCAAAATGGACACCTGGATCTTTTCCTGAGGTTCCTGCTGGGCGTCTCACTGGAGTCCAATCAGAGACTCTTACAGGATCTGCTGACACACACAGTGAACAGCTCAGAGACCATCAAGAGAATCATACAGTACATTAAAGACAAACTCAAGGCTGATGAGGGTCTCTCAGCTGACAGATGCATCAATCTGTTCCTCTGTCTGCTGGAAATGAAGGATCAGACTCTGTACAGAGAGATTCAGGAGTTTGTGAAATCAGAGAAACTCTTGATGAATAAACTCTCTCCATCTCACTGCTCAACAATTGCCTACATGCTTCAGATATCAGAGGAGGTGCTGGATGAGTTTGATCTGAAGAGATACAACACATCAGATGAGGGTAGAAGGAGACTGATACCAGCTGTGGTGAACTGCAGAAAAGCTCTGTGAGTATTCATTTATGTGATTGGAGATGAAACTGAATGTGTCTTGTTTTGTTGAGGTGCTGTAACATTGTCATTCCTCCATCAGATCATGACACTGTTTTCTTTTACATGACAATAATTTAAAAGGAAATCAGAAATTGTTTGGAGAGGACAAAACTCTTTTAAAATCAAAAGTGTTTAGTTCTTCCTGACTCACTCCAACTCCAGGGCGACGTTACCGTATGAGTATAGCAGTCATCATACCCTGGCCCTCCCTACCATACCATGGCTGACATACTTAAGGGTTTTTTGAAACACTTCCACTGCTCCAAACAACAGGTGTAACCTGTTAGACTCAAAATGAGGATCATGAGACATGTGCAGACTTTAATGAAGTTTAGTTTAATTGTTCATCATTTTATTTTTCCCCTGTGGCTTATGCTTTATGTAATAGGCCTATATATAAATATCATATATATTTACATATTCTCCTGTGGCTTATACTTTATATTGTACTTTTTTTTTAACTTTTACTTTATATACTGTTTATCAATTTATTTTATATATTGTTTTTTCGAAGAAAAAAAAAACATAATTTAACATAATGAAAAAAAATCTAATCAAAAGCCAATAACATTGAAAGAAACATTTGATATAAAATTATATTTTATTCAATGTCTGAAAAACAAGTAATTAAAAAAAAAAAATTTAATAAAAAAGGTAAGGATCAAACAAAAAACTGACCCACTTTATATTAAGTGGCCTTAACAATGTACTTACATTTAAATTAATAATGTGGTACAATGCACTCATTGTGTACATACATGTTTTTACATTGTACTTATATTTTAAAAATACCTGCATGTAATTACATCTGTAATTAATTTATGTAATTACATTTATAATTACACAGTTGACCCATCCCTTACACCTTAACCCACCCTTAAACCTACCCATACCACCAAACCTGTCCCTAACCTTACCCGTATCCCACTTCAATAGCAGCAAAAGTGTTTTGCAACACAATATAAACACAATAAGTACATTGTACTTAATTTTCGATGCAAGTACATAGTAGTTAAGGCCACTTAATATAAAGCGGGGCCAAAAAAACTTCCAGTCTGTCCACAGTTCTCTTTTACTTTGCAAAAGCAAAATAACAGGGTTGGATAAGGTAACAATGCCATCACACATACTGGAAAGTTACTGGAGTAATAGTATATTCTTCTTCTGGTATTTATTTATCTGTCCTACTTCCTTATAACTTCACTGGGACTCTGATGCTCTATGTTAGCAAAAATCTGTTCAGTTAGAGAGAAACCATATTTCGTCCTGTGTTATAGACTTGCTGACTGTGTTCTCAGAGCTACATGAACCCATATGTTATTCTGATGTAACAACAAAATTTCATAGTATCTGACTAATAGAGCACTGCGGCCATGATGTCAAAACAACTCTGTTTGGCTATATTTCCAGTCAATATTTAGAGTTCACCTTCTGATTAACAACAGAATATTAGTCACAGAAAAACTATTGTAACCACCATCTCTTCATTATTGAATCGTATTTCATCCTGTGTTTTAGACTTGCTTGCTGTAATCTCACTGGTCAGTGCTGTGAAAGTTTGTCTTCATCTCTACAATCATCAAACTCACTGAGAGAGCTGGACCTGCGTCACAATGACCTGCAGGATTCAGGAGTGAAGCTGCTCTCTGATGGACTGAAGAGTTCACACTGTCAACTCAATACGCTGAGGTAAGAAAAACAGATAAAGGTTCACTTGATTATGAAATTAAAGATGTCCTCTTTTCTGGTCCTGATCTCCTGGGTGTTTGTAATATATCAGAAGACCCCAGTGTGTCTGAAGACTTTGGGTTTGTATTCGCTCCATCTGGGTTCTATAAAGAACTTTTATATTAAACAAGTATTAATTGTTGCAAATTATTTTTTCATTAATTTAAATATTTACGTATTGAGAACATGGGCATTTATGCTGTATTATATATGGGTTTTAAACGTATTGCCTACTGTATATCAGATTACGTTGTGGGTGCATTTGTCTATTTATTATATTTTCTCAGTATACGTGTTCTCAGGAAATCGAACCCCAACTTCAGCATTGTTATTGCCAGTCGAGCTACAGGAACTCATATATCATGCTGATGTAACAATAAAGTCAATAGTATCTGACTAATTTTCTATTATTTATAGGCATTATTTATTGTTCACTTCGGATGAGACTAGAACATCAGTCATGGGATCAACACCATGTGCAAAACAGAAATATCTAAACCCACCATCTCCTCTTTATTGAACCATATTTCATTCTGTGTTCTAGACTTGCTGACTGTAATCTGACTGATCAGTGCTGTGAAAGTTTGTCTTCATCTCTACAATCATCAATCTCACTGAGAGATCTGGACCTGAGTCACAATAACCTGCAGGATTCAGGAGTGAAGCTTCTCTCTGATGGACTGAAGAGTTCAAAATGTCAACTCAACATACTGAGGTAAGAAAAACAGATTAAGGTTAATTGGTTATGAAATAAAAGATGCCTTCTGCTTCGCTCCTGATCTTGTGGGTGTTTGTAATATATCAGCAGACCCCATTGTGTCTGAAGACTCTGGACTTGTATTTGCTCCAGCCTGTTATAAAGATATTTTTGAAAAGTATGTGTGATTTTTATTCACTGATTCATATGTGAAAGTTGTAAGCAGTAGCGTGTTTACCCACCATGCAAAGCCGCAAAGCACACAATTTCTCCAGAGTATTTCTCTTTATTTCTCTATATTTATTTATTCAAAATACAAATTAAACTACACTGACCCTGTTGTTTTATCAATTAATGTTCCTGTCATGGATGAATTTGATGGTGTGTGTGTGTGTGTCTGAGAGAGCTGGATCTGAGCTACAATCACCCAGAACAATCATTAGTCAAGCTGCTCTCTGATCCAAACTACAGACTGGACAAACTCAAGTATGTTCAACACTAACAATCATCCTGTCATTTGTGTTTGTACATGTGTGCACTATAAGTCACTGAAAACTCATATGTACATAGATCCCTGCATACAGCACATATATACACATACAGAGAAAAATAATGACACGTCTTGAACTCTGTAACTGAGGATGATCTTGATTTAGCTCAATGTATGCTTGTGACTCACAACAGCTGCATCTGAGAAACAGACTCAAGTCTCTGATCCCACTCCAGACATTTCATATTTGCAATTTTAATTATGTTTGTTTATAATAAAAGTAAACAAGAGTGTATAGATTCATCTACAGTTTAATACCCATTAGTTTTAAATATTTTTTTTACTTTTTTGTTTTTATAGTGTGGATAATGGAGGAGAGATCAGGATTACAACAGGACTGCAGAAATGTAAGACACACACACACACACCAGGGCTTAAAAAGGAGAAGGGTGGGGGAATAAATAAGTTAACTCCAAGCAGAATATTGCATTCCTTCTGAAACGTTTTGATTAGGAAAAAAAATACTAGTTAACATTATTTAGTAATTTGCTGTTGAAGTGGATTTACTTGGATTTTCTTATTGTAGAGATAACAAACATTATCATGTGCATTATAATGTTCGAAGTGAATGTCATACAATGTCAGTAGACTCGTAAGATTTTAAAATGAATGGAAATACAGAAGCAGAAGACAATGAATGCAATGTTGAAAAGGGGCGGAGCTACCGAAGGTCTATAAATAAACATGATGTGAAACGTGTGCTGTGTCGAGATGTTTGCTAACAGTATACTTGTGTATTTTTAAACTTCTTTTTACCTTTAAGTGAAGGACAAAAAAGAGCTTCGCTGTCAGTATACTGGGGCCTTTAATCATTACGTTTTGATATAAATGTTATAATTTCTCTTCTTGTGTTCAGATGCATGTGATCTCGCACTGGATTTAGACACAGCAAACACTTTCCTAACTCTGTCTGAGAGGAACAGAAAAGTGACACATGTGAGAGAGAAGCAGCCGTATCATCGTCACCTAAACAGATTTGAGTGTCATCAGATTCTGTGTGAAGAGAGTCTGTCTGGACGCTGTTACTGGGAGACTGAATGGAGCGGGAAGGAGGTTTATGTATCAGTGGCATATAAAGGCATCAAAAAGGAAGGATGGAGTAATGACTGTTTGTTTGGACACAATGAAAAGTCCTGGAGTCTGAAATGTTTTAATGATGGTTTCACTGCCCGTCACAATAATAAGTGTACCGAAATGTCTGTTCCTTCATGTCTCTCTAACAGAGTAGGAGTGTATCTGGACTGGTCGGCCGGCACTCTGTCCTTCTACAGCGTCTCTGACACACACACACTCACACACTTACACACATTCAACACCACATTCACTGAACCCCTCTGTGCTGGATTTGGGTTTTATTATTACGATACTTCAGTGTCTCTGTGTGAGATCAAACATCTTCCTGTGAGAAACACAGCTGAGTGAAGAAACACATTATCTCTCTTTACCTCTCACAGCTGTAAACTGTTTCTCTCTTATCTTATTTTCAGTGTGTAGAAACACACATTGACCTGTGTTTTTATAAAGACATTTGAATGCGGCTCAACAGGAGTTTTGTCTTTCTGAATCTCTGAGCGCCACCTGGAGGAAGATTTAGTTTCTCACTCACAGGAAGCAGTTCTTAGCAACCTCTTGCTCTGTTACTTTGGTAATTGAGGGTCGGTCAGAGCTCATCTTCTAAACACACTTCATCACAAATGTTAAAGGCTGTGGAGCTCATCTTACGCTCCATGTGGAAGGTTGACGTCTCTTTCTGATCACTCATTCTCAACTGTCTGTCTTAAAATCACAGTCAAACTGATTGTTCAGTAGAGCTGAAGATGTGGATCAAACTGTCAGATTTGGTCTTTGTAGAGACTCAATGATCAGGAATGTTTGAGAATCAGTTGTAGAGCTTGAATGCATTCAGTGATCAGCTTGTGTCTTGAGCTCAACATTATTTATAGGCTGATATTTATCCTCAGATTATATATTTTAACCCGTTGCTTCCAAATCTTTACCGTCATTTAACAGAAAGTTATCATTAACAATTTAATTAACTATTAGAATATCTTTATTGTAAGTTTCAATAATTGTATATTAATAATTCAACAATTATTGTAATCAATAATCAGTAAAAGTCTATTTTCATGTCTGTTTATCACTCAATGTCACTGTTATCACTCAAAAACACTGTTAGATAAAAAGTCAGGTGTCAAATATTTATTAAGCATTTAAAATTCAGTTTACTGTTAAAATAAACACTAATGCAAGGTGAAGTTGTGGGGCATTTTTTCTCTTTTCTCTAGAATCAGTGATGGGATGGTTTTGCTATTTCAAGGTCAAATGAGTGTGTGACTTTCACTGGATTTTCTGTCACCACTTATTAAAATGTGTAAATTATTGAACACTATGCTACAAAATTCAGTATTCACAATTTAAAATATATTCATTACGTGACAGCTGACGTATTGATAATATTAGACAATATCTGTGGTAATCTATTCAGATTATAAATAAATTTATAATGAAAAGTTGACATTTTGAAGAGGTTTATTTGATAAAGACCTGATCTACTGTATATAGGCTCTATGTTTTTTTTTTTTTCAATTAACAGTGAACAGTTAAACATTTACACTACCAACAGTTTGGAATAATGAAGATTTTTAATGTTTTTGAAGGAAAACTCTTATGCTTACCAAGACTAGCATATACTTAAGGAAAACAGCAATATTGTAAAATATTATTACAATTTAAAATAACTTTTTATATATTCCTGTGATGGCAAGGCTAAATTTCAGCAGTCTTCATGATCGTTCAGAAATCGTTCCAATATGATGATTTGGTGCTTATGAAACATTTATTATCATCAATGCTGAAAACTGTTTTTGCTGCTTAACATTTTTGTGGTAACGATGATATACTACCATTCAAAAGTTTGGGATAAGTAAGATTTATTATTATTATTATTAAATGTATACTTTTATTCAGCAAGGATGCATCAAATTGTTTAAGAGTGACAATAAACACATTTATATGTTACAAAAGATTTTTGCTACAAATAAATGCTGAGTGTTTATCAAAGAACACTAAAAAAGTATCACACTTCAGTATCAAAACTATTTCAACTTTGATATGAATTATTATTAATAATTGAGCACTATATATAATAACTAATAATAATAACTAATGATCATCCAGCACCAATCAGAATATTAGAATGATTTCTGAAGGATGATGTGAGACTGAAGACTGGAGTAATTATGCTGAAATTCATAAATAAATATATATATATATATATATAAATACATTTATTTGAAATAAAATTTCACAAGGTTTCTCCTTTATTGTATTTTTCGTTACATCGTTGCGTCAGTGGGTGGCGACAATTGACCACTTTGTCATTGAGTGAATCATCGAATCATTCATTCAACCGAATCATTCAATCACATTGATTCATTGAGCAATCACACACCACAACTCTGGTTCTAGGAGACTTTCAGACTTGACAGGAACATACAGCTTGTGAGGGACATTATACAATTTTAAGAAACTATCTTAGGACTTCATCCTCACCTGTCACTTCATTCATATCACTAGACTGCAGAGCTTGTTGACTCTTCTCTCACTGGCCATGTGACGCTGTCGAAAGTGAAACTGTTTCAACAGAGCCTGCACGTTTAAAACAGTATTAAAACAACAGCAGCAGGAAACATTGCTTTTGTTAATAAATGTAAGCAAAATATGATTTCAAGTACAGCTTACCTCAGGAATATTGCTAGCAGTCTCCAGCTCGAATTGGCGGGACATGGTGCGAATCGTCTTCGTCTCCTTCCTATTTAGTTTTGATTAGCAGTTTTGACGCGAGGGATAGTCAATTAACATAATAAAGCGATTATGGTATAAATACGATATTTTACTTACAACAATACAGAAGTAAAACGAAATGGCACGTCGCTGTCATTAAGACTTGATTATGGGCTGACTGGATTCTGTTCAAAGACCCTAAGGTTAGTCCCTATATTGGTTCACACTAGCTAATTTAAATAACGGACGTCTTTAAAAACTACACATAATGTGGTAATAAACACTTTTATATCACTTCCGCCAACTGTCATAAGCGGAAGCCGTGCCAGCAGAGGACGTAGCATGTCGGCGTTGCGTGATTAGTGACGAATGCGGAGAGACAACAAAACAAAATGCCGGTCACGAATTAGAAGTACAAACCGAAGATTTGCAAAGAAAAATGTTGGAGGATTTCGATACAAGCCAAGAGGAGACTGGTTTTCCTTTGCTAAAGTAACAAAACTTTGCTTCCTTTGCTCCTATTAAACAAACTTGCGAGACTAGCATATCTCAGAGGCGCGCGCGCTGCGCATACGTCATACGCCTTCCACCAGAACGCCTTCCGCGTATGAAAGATAACGGAAGTGAGAGAAAAGTGTTTATTACGTTTGAAATATGGATATTTTTCGTACAAAAACGCATGGATTCACTACAGAAAGCATTTATTCACCCCCCGGAGCCGTGTGAGGTACGTTTTATTATGAATGCACGCACTTTATTTGACGACTTGTGGACTGTTCAACTGCAACACCCGCTGACTGCAATGATAGAGCTTGAAATAGCCAGGACAGTTTTTAATATACAGTAACTCCAACTGGATTCGTCTGAATGAAGAAAGTCATATACACCTAGGATGCTTCGAGGGTGAGTAAAACACAAGCCAATTTTCATTTTTGGGTGAACTAACCCTTTAAGCACATCAGTCTACACATATTGTGTTAAATGCTGTGTGTAAATTCACAAGTTGTGTTGATTTTTAAACTACACATAAATATGTGTAAAAGAGGTTATTCTTTTCTACACATTTTTATTTAATATTGACACAAAATGTGTAAATTAGAGTGTTTTTTCTACACATCTTTCTAAGAGTGTAGCGACGGCCCTGACTCTACTACATGAAATATAAGATATTAAAATAGCTAAAAAAAAATTATGCATTTATTTTATATTGTTACAAATATTATAAAATGTAAACATTTGCATGTGTTCTTGTGTTTTACTAAATGATATTTGTTATACATATTTTTAGCTGAATTATATCTCAGAACAGCTTATATACAGGACACATGATGCATGCTTAGGAAACTTTAACAGTTTATTCCATCTGTAGGCTGTCAGAATGTGATCTGAATAAGAGATTCATTCTCATCTTCATTCTGCAGGGAAGCTGTTTGGATGATCATGGCTGGACTGAATAGCAACAAGTATCTGTGTCTCTTATCAGCAGGATGGAGCTGATCTGAATGATCTGAAAGCATGAGGATGATGATGTTTAGAATGAATTGTATCATTATTTTGTGTCCTCCGATTGCATCCTTTTTTAGGGTTGTGACCTCTGAGACTCTTTAGGCCAGATCTCTCCTGGACATCAATAAATGCTACAACTGGACGAATGTATCAGCAGTTCATACTGAGGGTGAGTTGAACATCTTCATCTTTACTGGGTCTGAAATCTTCCCAGAGGAACCTCTGAATTGCTCAGAAATTGCTACTAAAATCTTTTAAGTGAAATAAAACAGGCTCACATGGGTAACAGTTCAGATCATTGGTCTGGGAAGAATTTGATGAAATGTTTGAGTTTGCTGATTTTGTAGAGATGTTAAGTTCTCTTCTGAAACTCTTGAGGAGACTGATGTGAGAGTATTAAGATTTTTCCCCAAGAGAAATAGTGGGTCTTTCAGTGAATCGCTCTGGATTTGATGCAGCCACAGCAGGCGTGTTTATTTCATGAGACTGTACAGTGTCCTGTTTAGTCAATATTCAGAAATATTCAGCCTTAGTATTACTATGGAATCATTTTAATAACTGACGAACTAGGGCAAATATCTCCAGCATGACACAAAATAATTTAACAAATGCATGAATGGAGAGGGTTCATCTTATGTGATTTTACATAAAAAACCTCACAGTCTGAACCTTCCCATTTCACATATTAATACAAGGTGATTTGATATTTCAAGGTAAAATAAGTGTGTCCAGTATAGTATGTTCCTCTCACCACCAGAGGTCTCTGACATCTACATGGTAAAATGGAATATATGGTACCATTCACCATATATTGCACTATTCACACAGTTTAATAATTGGTTTAATAATCCAATGCATGATAATCACTGTTCATGAATTTAGTTCTCTAAGCACCAATAAATGTGTAAAATTATTCCATTAATAAACACAAAGAACAACTCTTCTTTTAAAGTGTTTGCAATTTCAGTTTATTAATCTGTTAATAAATATATTTATTTATTTAAGGACATCTATTTAGGCTTTATGTATTTGAATCTCTGTCTATTGTAATAGGTGGTATAAACAGGGGTGCCGCTAGCAATTTTGGGCCCTATGAAAGAATATGAGGTTGGGCCCCCTACCGCACCAAACATACACTATATTGCCCAAAGTATTGGGACCCCCCCCCTCTCTCTAATGAACAGGTTTGACTACTTTAGTAATTTCCGCGAGTACAAATCTTAATGTTTAAACATATAAGGATA